TTCTTTGTGAACCACACGTGTCACGAGAGTTTCTCTGTCGAACGGGGCAAACCTTACAAACATGACCTATAGCAAGTGATTCCTGAACTATGTACACAAATGATTATCATGTTCTGATAGTGTTATTCCTCTAAGGAGAAGCTTCATATTTCATATGGGAGGGCAGAACTCACAACAAGATCACATCAACTTATGTATGCAAACGTTTCTACAATCTTTATTTCCTAGACACCAAAGACAGAAAACACAATAATTACAAATCAGAGTGACTAAGAGGTTCACATTTTGTGCATTTCTCCAGTCACCTTGAAACAGTTAGACAAACTTATTCTTCACTTGATGTCTGTTTTCCAACTTCTCGAGACTTCACTCTCAGTTTGTTGACTTGTGATTCTGCAATATCAGCCCTTTCTTCAGCTTCTTCCAGCTCATGCTGAATTTTGCGGAATTTGCTGAGGTTGAGATTGGATTGTTCCTCCTGAGAATGAAGAAAGTATGGTGAAAAAACAAGTCTACTTATGTTTTATATGGAATGCAAACAGGTAATAGCCTTTTGCATTCCATGTAATGTTTTTTACCTATGGTGAAGAGGAAAGATTTGAGTCTCCATTATGCAATTTTAGGTAAATGAAAAGTTCAATTTGCCTTTCACAAATTGAGAATATTTAGTGTAAAAATTCTTGGTGAGTCAGCTGAATCTAATCTGTTTAATTCTATAAAGAATTAGTTTACTTTATAAGGCTTTTAAGGTATATTCTATAAAAATTAAAGCTCAGTTGATTTTATAAATGCTGTACCTTATAGGCAATGAATTTTGATTAGCATTTATTTAGCAAATTTATATAGCTGCCCATCTCACAAAACGTGATTCTGGGCAGCATGCAAACATAATGACAATTTAAAAACCATAAAACACTCAAACATAAGTAAAAAAGAAAACATAAAAAACCCAAGACTGCAGAACAACAGTTACTTGATGTCATACAGCCCACCATGGGATCCCCAAGATTGATAGAAAAACCATGTTTTAAGGGCTTTCCAGAAGGCAAGCCAGGATGGAGCCAACTTCACCTCAGGGAGAACGATGTTCCAGAGGACAGGGGGCACAGCAGAAAAGGCACGCTGTCTGGGTCCTGCCAGATGGAACTCCTTAGTAAACGGGACCCACAGCACAGCCCTCCTGCTCAACCTGATTGGACAGGTAAATGAAATCAGGAAGAGGCAGTCCCTCAAATAACCTGATCCCATGCCATGTAGGGTTTAAGATCAAAACCAGCACCTTGAATTGCACCCAGAAGCAGACTGACAACCAATGCAGCTCACAGAACAGAAGTGTAATGTGCACCATCCTAGGGGTGAATATAGCTGTCCACGCAGCCACGTTCTGCACCAGTTGAAGCTTCTGGATACTCTTTAAGGCCATCCCCATGTCAAGCATGTTACAGTAATCCATTCTGGAGGTGACCAGGGCATGAGTAACTGTGAGTAGAGATCCAGGAAGGGACACAATTGGCGCACAACACGAAGATGTACAAAGACCTTCCTGGCCATGATTGCCACCTGCTCCTTGAGAAGGACCCCCACATTATTCACCAGGTCCGTCTGGGGCAGTGCCATCCCATCCAGTACCAAAGATGGTAAGCCCCAGATCCAGAAGGCCCAAACATCCAGAGCCACTCAAATTCATTTGAAATACAATTATTGCTCCATTTTTAATGCATTACGTACAGCTTCTTCAAATTGCCTCTTGTATGCCTTCACTTTCGTTTGCAACTTGTCCACCAGATCCTGGAGCCTCAGAACATTCTTCCGGTCTTCCTCAGACTAAATAAAGTTATAACAACAGGGGAAAAAATACGAGTTTCTATCATTTAAATCCCTTTAAATGACTTTCCAAGTGAGTATTTTTTCCTAGAGAGCCAGTTTAGTGTAGAGGTTAAGGCACCAGGCTAGAAACTGGGAGAGTGAGTTCTAGTCTCACCTTAGATCTGAAAGCCAGCTGGGTGACCAATCCCTTTCTCCTAGCCCCAGGGAGAAGGCCAGGCCAAACCACTTCCAAAATCTTGTCAAGAAAACTTCAGGGACTAGTCCAGGCAGTCACCAGGAGTCAACAATGACTCAAGAGAGGTCTGGAGCTTCCTTACAGGAAATGAATACCCATGAAGTTTAAGGGAGATATTTTATATTGGTGATAATGTTGGTTAATTAGAATAAGGATGATTTGTTTTAGGTCTCTTTGCAAACAGTTACTATTTAGTGTTTTTTTTATATTGTAAATGAAGAAAGGGGGAGGTAAAGGTGTCAATTAAGTCTTATATAATGTGGATTTCAAAATATTCAGGGATTTCAAAATTTTCAGCTAAGTAAAATTGTGATCAGGTCTGGAATAGCTAGACTATAAATAAGCCTATGCAAGTATAACTCATGAAAAAAAGCCAGTTCCATTTTCCCAGTATTCTTTGTTCCCAAGTTGGTTGATAAATAACTTCACCCCATGCTTATCACCCTCACCTGGTAAGTCAGCTCCTTCACTCGTCTCTCATATTTGCGTACACCCTTGATAGCGTCAGCATTGCGCTTTTGCTCATTCTCAACTTCCGCTTCGAGTTCACGTACCTAAGGGAGAAAAGGTTGAAAATTAGATATCAGCTATGCTCTATTGCATTCAACCCTTATAAAGTCTGTACGTATAGAGAGGGATGGTTACGCACTCTTTGCTCTAATTTCTGAAGCTGCTTCTTGCCTCCCTTCATTGCCAATTGTTCTGCCTCATCAAGACGGTGCTGCAGATCCTTTACAGTCTGTTCTAGGTTCTTCTTCATCCTCTCTAGATGGGCACTGGTGTCTTGTTCTTTCTTAAGTTCTTCTGCCATCATGGCTGCCTATTAATAAAGATACTAATCCAGTTCTGCTGCTACAAGTGTATATAGGATCAGATTTCAAAAGAAGGCTTCCATCAACTCACATCAGTGATGGATTTCTTGGCCTTCTCTTCAGCGTTGCGTGCCTCCTGAATAGTCTCCTCCATTTCACCCTGGATCTGGGCAATATCTGTTTCCAGCTTCTTCTTGGTGTTGATCAGGCTGGTGTTCTGTTTTGGAAAAATATACTGTTAGTTTCTAATAAACATGAAATGATTAATTTAAATAACCAATACATATTTTTTTTGAAAACACAGAAAATAATGGTCTCTTCTAAAAATGAACCTGTATATTGAAAGAATAATGCCTGCAACATTATTTTGTATTTCTTCATTTAGTCTTATTCTCAAGTTTCCCTCAGAGTTTCAAAAAAGACAGAAGTGTCATAGCGCCTAATCTAATATAATAGAAGAAAGGAAGATTAATAATAATTTTTACAGATGTTTTATGTAAAGCTCTGCAAATATCGTTTAAGCATAGCTTAATTATTTCTGACCATATTCAAATATTCAAAATACTCCAGTTTTTCTCTCTGCAGTAGTGCATATGTGGTCCTGTCATTCTCAACTAGTGGTTATAGGAGGATACAAATAATTAGATTCTTACCTGTGTGTGGAGAAGCTGCACACGTTCACTGGCATCCAGAAGCTCCTGTTCAGCCACTTTTCTGGCCCTCTCTGTCTGTTCCAGAGCTGCCCGGAGCTCTTCAATCTCAGCCTGCATCAGGTTTGCTCTGCGCTCAATCATGGATACTTGTTCCTTCAAATCTTCCTGGCTTCTCAAAGCATCATCTAAATGCAGTTGTGTGTCCTATGAAATAAATTAGGGTAGCCCTTGAAATCTTTACAATTGTAGGGATTTTCTGATGGTTTCTTGAAACTGCTTTGTACTTACCTTGAGCAGTCCTTGTGTGTTCCTGAGGTTCTTTAGGGCTTCAGCAGCTTGACGGTTGACATGGCTCAGCTGGATCTCCATCTCATTCAGATCTCCTTCCATCTTCTTCTTAAGCCGCAGGGCATCATTCCTGCTCCTAATCTCAGCATCCAATGTGCTCTGCATGGACTCGACCACTCTCAGGTGATTCCTTTTCAGCTGATCAATATCTTCATCCTTCTCTGCAATTCTTCTGTCAATATCCGATTTCACCTGGTTGAGCTCCATTTGGACGCGGAGGAGTTTGCCCTCTTCATGTTCCAGTGAGGCCTTAAGAAAAACAAGTATATCAACTGTTATTAATGAGTCATCTAAATAACAGCATTGTTCATACTTGTCTAATATGCTCTCTAAACATATTTTAGAGTGCTTTATAATGCATTAAAGAATTTGTGCTTTTGTTTTCTGTAAGCATAATAAAATGATTACCTCAGCCTCCTCTAGGGAGGCCTGGAGTTCACATTTCTCTTGTTCAATCTGTTTCTTCACTTTTTCCAGTTCATGGATGGCCTTTCCTCCCTCGGCAATCTGTTCCGTTAGGTCAGATATCTCCTCTGTTAATTTCACACAAAATAAAGAAGGACAGGTAACTAGTGTTTATATGATAAGAATTAACAGTTTTAAGCTGGATATTTGGGAAAAGAATATTTCCTTGGCTCTTCCAAACTCATCCATTTGGAACTGGTCAGTATGAGCATGTGCAGACAACACTTCTAATGAAGAGAATGCATATATGAGATTATCTTACTGTGCTTGTCACTTGTTGCTCCATAGGAGGGGGGGTAGAACCATTACATAATCAATAGTTTCTCAGTTTTGTATCTTCAGTGTCATAAACACATAGTAAGAAACTTATAGACTTACGGTGGAGATTCTTGTTCTCACGTTTCAGAGTTTCTAAGTGATCCAAGGATTCTTCATACGCGTTCTTCATCTTGAAGAGCTCTGTGCTGAGAGACCGAGACTCCTTCTGGGAAGCTTCCAGCTCAGACTGAGCTTCCTCATATTTCTGTTTCCAGTCTGCCAGAATCTGTAAAAGGTCACCGAGTCATTGGTGGCATAGAAATTTGATAAAGAACTAAACTAATTAATTTAATTGGCTCAACTTCTTGGTGCAAAGTGTTCTTTTTTATCATTAGGAGCAAAATACCTTATCAAAGTTCTTCTGCTTCTTATCCAGAGCTGCACAAGCTGCATTGGACCTTTCCACATCAATCATCAGGTCCTCCACTTCATTCTGCAACCTCTGCTTTGTCTTCTCCAGAGAAGCACATTTGGAATTCACAGCTTCTACATGTTCTTCAGCTTCCTGCAGACGCTGAGCAAGCTTCTTCCTGGAGGAATGAATGGTTAAGTATTAGCAATGATTCACACATGAATCTGTTTAGAAAATATGAAAAGAAGAAAAGTTTACAATCATAAGAATGACACCCTTTTCTCTACTATGGGCATGGAAATCTATTTCATTTTCTAGCTTTTTAAGACTTATACAAAGCAGTTCTGCAAAATGCAAATGATCTCATGAAACACTAACTTGTCATGCAGGATAGATTGCAAACCTTTGAGAATGAGAATGGTTATCAACAAGTAATAAGAACTATAAAGTTCTCTAAAGTTCCATGGATAATCAGCATAAGACTTGGGTTTGGATTTATTAAATTTTCAAAAGGGAAATTATATTTATATTAGTTTTTGCAATGAATTACTATTTTAATTTACAAAAGGTCATGAAATTATTACATAAAATGTTTTATAGAGGTTTGCTCACTCTGTACAAATATTCTTTTTCAAATGCAATGTTTGAAAAAATTGGAAATAAGGGATAAGCTGCAAATAATTTTGTTCCATAAGAAAGGTTGTTCTGGATTAGTTATTCTGCAAGATTTTGAGTGGTTTACAACAATCCTGCAAACTTAACAATCGTTTTTTCTTGCATTGTTGCAATTTAAGCTAAGAGAATATCTACAAAAAGACTGGAATGTCACTTCTTGCTACATCCTTTTTGCAGCAAGCTGAGGCACCTGTGTAGAAGGAGAATAGCTTATGGTAGCTCTGCAACATAGTCCGCTCTCAGAGATACGGCTAAAATTACTTCATCTTATGGTAGTTATACCCCATTTGTCCTTGTAATTTATTTACACTGCAGAACTACTCCCAGCTCCACATACTTGGCCTCCTCTAACTCTTCAGTGCGCTGAATGGCATCAGTCTCATATTTGGTTCTCCACTGGGCCACCTCACTGTTGGCTTTGGACATGGCCCGCTGCAGCTCGGCCTTGGCTTCCTGCTCTTCCTCAAATTGTTCCCGGAGTAAATCACAGTCATGACGAGCAGATTGCAAGCCATGAGCCAGTGCATTTTTAGCCTAGAGAAATGAAGAAAAGATGTTGTAAATGCTTTGCCCAAATCTAGTGGTGGCATTATTAGCACCTCCCACCTGTGCCACTTTCTTTTTCGGATTTGTTTTGTGGTCTTTGGGATTTAAACCTTTCAGCTGTTTACTTGTGAAAATGCAGAATTGCACATATGTCTTACTAGCAATTCTAGTAATGGAGAAGGAGAAAAAGAGCACCTTTAGCTGGTTGTGCTGGAAGCTGCTGAAGTTTCTCATCTGTAGATCTTGATTTAATACACACCTTTATTTCCTCTTCAAGTTGCCTCTTCAATTCTTCAATCTGCTGGGTGAAACCTTGTTTGCCTCTCGAGAGCTGGGAAATCAGAGAGTCTTTTTCTTCCACTTGGCGGGCAAATTCACCTGAGAAGCAGAAGACAGACGAGAGGGAGTTGACATGACTGAACTAATTGTTGAAGAAAGTGCTGATGAAGAATAGGAGCAATTGGAAATTTTTAACAAAATCAAATACATGGCATTTGATATTAATTGTATTTTAGGTTATTTATAATATCTTCCTGAGCTACACTTATCACCTGAAATATAAATTGGGAGAGGGGGGTCTCTCATATTTCCCATAAATTCTGTGATACCTCTGATACTAGAAGAATTAGCACGTCTCATCAGAGATGGAGTTGTGAAACATAACTTTCAGCAAGAAAGAAAAATGGGATCACTTGCATGTAGAAGTAACTAAGTTGGGCCACTTAATTTAGTAAAGCCAATCTTCCCTTCAGCAGCAACCTAAGTATATTTCTTAGTCAAATCACAGATGACAAACACTTCGGTTTATATACATATACATATTTCAAATTTCACTAGCCAGTGTTGTATTCCTTGGATTTTAGCATTAATTGCAAGTTATGGCTCTTCTGAGCACTTACAGGCAAATTCAAATACCATTAATGGTGTGCAGAATAAATACTTTACCACTTCTTCTTACCTGCTTCTGTCTGCAGGCGAGCTTTCTGAGTAGTAAGGTCATTAATTGTACGCTGCTGCTCTTCTTCCTTTGCTTTAATCTCACTCAGCTGATCTTCCAAGGAGCGGGATAATTTCTCAAGAGTTGACTGAAATCAGCAAATGGAAATGTATTGAAATATCCTGCAAACTAATAAAGGAGAACTTTATCTGAAAATCAGGAAGGTAAAGCGGAAGTGCTGTCAAGACCAGATATAATTACTCATCCATTTGGATTACTGCCATATACAGTATTATTAATTCCAGCCAAAACAAAGTGCTACATCAAAATCAGTCTACCTGTCATAGGCATTACTGACTGCTGAAGAAATAGGCTGGTGATTTAGGAGTCCTCCTAGACATAATGCTTCTCCTGGATAGGCACGGAGCTAGGGTGAGGGCTTTGCCCAATCCTGTCTGGTGCACAAGTTGTGGCCCTTCCCTGAGCCTCGGGTCCTGGTGATGGTTACCTATGTCTTCACCATCTCTCCTGTCAACTACTGCAATGTACCCTATGTCTGGTTGCCTTTGAAGACTATCTAGAAATTGCAGGTGGCACAGAATGTAACTACTCTCATACTGGTGGGTGAGAGCTGCCACCACCACATAGCACCTGTTTTACAAGCACTGCATTGGCTTTCAAGTAAAATTCAAAGTGTGGGTTGTAACCTATAAAGCCCTTCATGACTTGGCACCTACGTTTCTGAAGGAATGCCTGCTCCGCATAGAAAAGAGCCCAATGTCTGCAGCCATAATTAGGATTTTAAGAGTGACACCCTCTTAAAATGAGGTCAGGTATGGAGGAGCATGAGAATGCTGCTTCTCTGTGTATGCTCTTTGTTATGGGATCCAATTGAAATTTTTCCAGAAGGGTTCTGAAGATAGAACTCTCTTGTACAGTTGATGAGGAATTGCTATAGGACACTGGGTTTTAGTAGTGTCAGAGAGGCTTTATATGCTATGGTTTTATGGTTTTATGTAACTCTGAAAACCACCAGGAATGTCTGGAGGTTGATAGTATAGAAAGCTTAACAATAATATTAATAAAGAATAAGTTGGAACAGACTCATAAATGATCATTATGATCAGAGTAAAGTAGGCTGATCCATCTATTCCTAGGTGAACCCCCCCCCCCCCAAAATCTGACCTGATGAAGATAAATTTTGAATAACTGTCTTTAAAGGCAGTCACAGGTAGCAGTGGATGCATAAATGTATTTCTGTGTTTCATAAGAAAAACCTTAGTCAACTTCTTAGCTCATCCAGTAATTAATATTGTATATTGTGGATGTTCTGCATATCCAGTAGTTAGTAAATCATGCCACACTTCTGAGAAGATGAAATAATTCTTATAATTTTTCGCTAATGTATGAAAATACCTATACCTTGGTTTTGGAGACAGATTCCATATTGCTGGCAAGATCATCCATCTCCATCTTCAGTTCACTCTTCTCCTTCTCCAGCTTCTGCTTCACACGCTGCAGGTTATCAATTTGTTCCCCAAGTTCAGCCGCACTGTCTGCGTGCTTCTTGCGGAGGGCGGCTGCAGTGGCTTCATGCTGCAATGTGGCCTCTTCAAGGTCCCGGCGCATTTTCTGGAATTCTGCCTCACGTTTCTTGTTCATCTCAATCTGAGCTACGGTTGCCCCACCAGCTTCCTCCAGACGCTCACTGATCTCTTCAAGTTCCCTGGAGAGATCAGCCCGCTGTTTCTCTGCTTTGGCGCGAGATGCCCGCTCGGCCTGGATCGCCCTTTCAAATTCCTCAATGCGAGCCTAGAGAAAAAGGACCGGCGGTGAACCCTGACGACTGTCTCCCAGGGTCTTCATTCTTCCAATCACAAAGGAGCCGCCCTCTGACAGACCTGCAGCTCCTTGATCTTC